TCAATAACCAAACGCATACTTTTTTTGCGGCCGAATAAAAGCGTACTGGGACCAGATTGCGAAAAAAATGTTGAAAACCGCACCCCAGTACGACCCGTACCCGTACCCAACCCGGATTATATCGACAACCCGTACCCGGATGTCGACGTTTACCCGTACTCAGATACATTTTAAGCGTAACGTATACTTTTCTGCGCGCAGCCCATTTTGGACCTGCCGGCCACTGGGAAACCCTGCCCGATTGCGTGTAACTCCCGAGACCCCAATAGGGTTTTTGGCCTCCATGCAAGAGACCTTCCGCGGATACTTTTATTCCGTACTGTAAAAAAGTAACGGGGAACCCTACGGATGGAAAAAAGTAGAAGGACACGTCCACTGGTAGTGGTGACAAGCGCATACGAGGCCCCCAAAGCTTTTTGAAACCGAAGCCCGCACTCCTAAACTACCCAACCCTCGCGGAAAAAGAGGAGTCCCCCCAGCCCTTCTCAATGAAAGTCCAATGCTCCTGGCGAGTGCGATCCGCTGCTTCTGGCCTCCCGAGAGCTGGCCGCCACCTGTTTCTCAGAGTTTGGCACACACATACACACAGAGACACACACACACACATACATACATACATACATACATACATGCATGCATGCATGCATGCATGCATACATACATACATACATAGATACACAGATGTGTTGTGCGTACATACATACGCTACCTTGCATTACGTTGCATTATTGCTCTTGGCATTTCCTTAGGTTGCATTGCATACACGCAGACATACATGTATGTTGTAGACACAGCTCTGCACTCACACATATGTCACATCATTCGTGACCTGTCCATTGGCATCGTCAGAGCCATGGTGAACTAGTTGTGCCGGGGATGCATGAACTATGGGCTTGACACAGTGTCTATAGGACTGTCGAGTTAGGTGGACTCAAGGTTGGGGGATGCGATGATGTGCATGCTGCGTGCTTTAATGCGTACATAATTAACATGCATAAAATGGACTGGAAGACATCGCCAGAGGGTCTCCGATGCTATGAGATCGTAGTGGCTTGTCACCTTGTCATGGTGCTCCCGTGCTCCCACCCGCCAGCCAAGGCAGCAAATGCAAAGTGGAGTCAGGAGACCTGCGCCCACAAACGTGTTGTACTTGTCGGGAAGGCTATCCACAAAGGTCAGCTGGGCATCTGCGCAAGCCTGTTGAAACTGTTCCTTGGTGGCTTCGGGGTTCCTTAGTTGACGCAAGGCGGCAATGGGTTTGCCCACAACTTGTCTTTCGCGCATGGAGTGTGCTGCAGCGACTACACATCGACATACACGTCCATGCACATTTGCAGCTAAGGGCGTTTAGAACCATGCTCTTATATGCACATGCACGTCAACAGTACACACAAACATACACAAATCCATATATGTATATATATATACATATGAAGAGAAAGAGAGAGAGAGAGAGAGAAAAACAAATGTACCATCATATACACATACAGCCGTATACACACGGACGCATACACACATATGTACAGCATACATATGCATACATTTTTAACATACATTCATATAGACATGTGTGCTCACAATGTGCATATATGCATACATGCACAGGCAGGTACACATGCTTGCACGCACACACATACATACATACATACATACATACGTACATGCATGCATGCAGACATACATACATACATACACAGATACTTACATACATACACACACCTACATACACGCAGGCATACTCAGATACGTACGTGCATACATACATACTTACTTACTCAATTACTCCATTAGGTATCGACCTGTTTGAAAAGCATACATACACGCACGGACATACACACATATATACATGTATACATGCATACATACATACATACGTACATACATACACACATACATACATACATACATACATACATATATATATTTATTTATATTTATATTTATATATATACATACGAAAATCAAACATACATACATACACCCAAAACAGACCAACACATACCTACATATGCAAGTAAATAAGACATACGGCATACATGCATACATGCACGTGGGAAAGTAGATGCGCACATACATTCCTACATACATACGTACATACCACTCACACACAGTACACACAACGCAAATACACACATGCAGTACATACCCACCTACTTACGTACATATGTGCATGCACGCATGTATGCATGCACAAACACATGAAGATGTGTACATACATATTAATGCGTGCAACCATATCATGCCATAACATGCCATGCCATGCCGTACCACACCATACCATACCATACCATACCATACTTATGCACATACACACATGCATATATGCTCCGCGCAATACAGGAAAAACCTACAAACATACATACATACATATATGCATACATACATGCATGCATACATACATACTCACATGCACACATACGCACAGACACAGAGAGAGAGAGAGAGAGACATGAATACAAACATACCTACATGCCTGCATACATACATTACATGCTTACATGCATGCATACAACCAGACTTACGTTACAAGGCGAACCTGCAATTCTACATGCATGCATATACCTTTGCTACATACGTAAATAAGCATACATACATACCTACCTACATACACATGCATATTCGCATCGCATTGCATTACAGTACAGTACATTAGGTTACCGTACCTCGCATGGCATTAGACATTGCAATGATACATACACGACATCCATGCACACAGGCATACATACATATATACACACACACATCCCAAGTCTAGCAGAAGGAAGGAAAACCAATCTACAAATAGAGTTGTTCATGATTGATACTCGTCTCTGTCTTTAAAGTATACAAAAACGCCATGCAATGCCACCGGGAAATATACATGCAGCGAGCTGTGACACTTCGAGGGATCCTCTTACACAAGCTATTTGCTCCGAGCTGGCTGAGCTGTCGCCACTGAAATACGGACCCTCAAATTCAGAGAGCAGTGCTGTACCAGACACATACACACACAGCCTTTGAGGGCCAGAGCTCCCTTGCATGATGTTTGCCCGGATGGACTGTGAGAAGAGGACCGGCTCCTACTCGCGAGAGTCACCGCACCGGATTTCCAGCTAAACTGGAAGCCCTCAGGCTTAAGTCATGAAAACACCAGCCCAAGCTCTCATTGCCTAGACAAACGCCTAGACAAACGGCGACATGAATGCCAAACCGGCTCCTGCCCAACATAGCCAATGCATTTCCGGAGGGCGTTGATCCTGAGTTCTGGAATGTGCAGTTGGGCCCTTGCTGCTATGGCGCTGGGCTGATTGGTCTTGCTCGGTTTCAAGATTTGTGGGCTTGTACGCTTTCAGTGTGGACCGCTTTAGGAGTCGAGGGTCGAATTTGCGATCTAGAGCTTGGCTAAGGGTTCAGGCATCTTCATGCCGCACGGCTGCTGTGGGGCTCACACCTTATAGAGCTTAGGTATGTAGAGATACTTTATGCAGCAGAAGTTTGTATGCTCAAAGGCGACTCTATCGGCCATCGAAAGCCGTAAAACAGGCAACCCCACCCAACAAAAAAGCAGGCTATGTTCCACAGTCAAGAATCTTGAACGTACGCATGTCCCATCCGTTCACATAGACAACCCCTGAGCTTGGGTCGTAAAAGCGTTCCAGAAGAGCCATGATCGTGCTTTTTCCAGATCCGGACTCGCCCACGAAGGCCACCTTCTGGCCACGATTGATGGTCAATGTCACCCCACCGAGGACTGTGACAGTCGGTCGGGCGGGGTAGGAGAAGTGCACTTGCTCGAAGGCAAAGGTCTCGATGCTAGACACCTCCTTCCTCTCATCTGCGTCGCGGCGCTGAATGGCCGGCTTGTTGTCATGAACCTGCAGGGAGTGTTAAGCCCTGTCGCTGAAAGGCGCTTGCACATGTTCCGGAACGCTCAACAACTTGCCTGCACGATGGTAGCCTACAGGCCCGCAACACATGCTCATAAGGCCCACAAACATCAAACTGGGTCCCCAAGCGCCTTGAAAAAGCGGTATGCAGCCATTTGAGCAGAACCAATGGCCTTCACAGCTTTCGCGGGCTGTTGGGCTTGAACCGCTCAGCGAGTGGACTCTAGGGTTGGCTTCGGCGTTTCATGTTTTCTGTTTGGTGTCTGACAGATATTCCCGGCGAGCGTGTCAGTGTAGCTTGACACTGGAGCCATGCCAAAGATTGATTGGTATGTCTCCCTGTCTGTCTGTCAGATTGCTGCTGTGGACACGAAGGATCTGGACGTTAACGCGTGGCAGCTTGAGTCCTCAAAGTCCCAGCATTGGCAGCCTTGATGCTCGGATCGATCTGGCCCATAAAGAAGCTGCCGATGAAAATGCAGAAGAAGATGGTCCTGAGTGCTTTGCGGATCCTGTTGCGACTCTGAGCTCTTTCATTCCGTTGTGACGAGGAGTCCCACGATGATGATGCATGCCAAGCGGTGTCTAGGTAGTCTAGTTTCGGCATCGACACCACGGATGGCATGGCTATTGCATTGGCAGCTGATTATCTTGCCATGTTTGCCAGTATTGTCAGTTGAGTGTGTCAGTGTCGTTTTCTTCTGGGCGTCTCCTTTGGTTTTGGATTCAGCTGACTGAAATACCTGACCGCCCCGTAATTAAGGCCCAGCAGCATGATGTCGCCGGTTCTCCAGGGCTCGCCAGTGGCAGGATTAAGCTCCCGGTGGTAAGCAAAGTTCATACCCGCGAAGAAGGCCAGTGCATAGTTCGAATACCTCTAGCGTCGCAAGTGGCTTGTGGTAAAGCGCTCACGGCAGCGGGTGGAGCGTGTCAGAATTCAGGTCTGAGGGCTTGCGGCTTACAGGGCCAAAAGCTTTAGCTCAGGGCATTTCGGGTAGTAGTGCTGCATCGGCAAACGGTTTCCGCTGAGGCTTTTGGGGTTTAGAAACTAAGCTCAGGCTGAAAAAGCTCAGTCTAGAACCCACGAAAGAAGTCTAAGCCAAGGGCCAAAACTCCGAAGCCTGTATGCTGTATGCTGACTTGCGTGTGGGGATGCCGTGCAAGGTCTTGTGGACAATACAACATGGTTCGCCGCGCACCGATAGTCCCGAAGCGGCCCACCGTCACGACGCTCCGGTCTCGCAGGCTTTCTTGTGAGTCTTCGTCGCAATAAGAAGATCAGGCTGCTACTACAGCGGCAAAAGATTTCTAATGACTAAAGATATACCTCGACCCGAAGACCCAGACCAATACTCTTGGCACGTCACTCCACGAACCAGGAGAATCCCGTGCCGAGCCCGATCCGAAGACCATTCCGAATGCCTCCCCTGCGTGTCCTGAGGTGTTGAACTTCGGCAAAAACTGAGGGCGTTTGCCATGGCAGTATTCAAATATACTTCCAACGAACATGGGCTAATCCACAAGTGTAAAGCGTGCTGTTTCAGGACCCGGTGTCTGAGCGACGGCAATGGAGAACCTCTCAAGCTCCTCATAGTCATCCGTTCAGGCTGGGGTGGGGTGGGGGGCCGTGCAACTAAAACCCGGTCTATTTGCCAGTTGAAACACTGTACTGTAACACAAACCCACAACCTAGGCGGCAAATACCGCTTGTTTTCGGTCTTAGGGGGTCGCAGGAGGAGAAATACATAAGTTAAATCCGGAGGCCTCCATATTCAAATTGTTTGAATTACTCAACTCCCGGCCCGGATTAAATAATTGGAGCAATTCAACTGATTTAAATCCTGGGGAGGGCGTCCGGAAGGGTCCGGGGGGGGCCTGGAGGAGGTCTGGGAGCGGGGTCTGGGAACCACCTCCCCAGTATTTAAACTCTGTAGATTTTAAAAATCTATTTAATTCCCGGCCAGATTAAATGACTCAAACAATTTAGAGGCCTCCCCCATGTTTAAATAATTTACATTATTTCGTTCCCGGCCCGAACTAAATACAGAAACTTAAAACATTAAAAATTCTGGCGAGGGCATCCGGGGAAAGGCGTCCGGGGACCACCTCTCCAGGATTCTAATTTTTTGAATTGTAAATGAATCAAATGCGGAGGCCTCCCCCCACCTTTTAATCATCTTGATTATATGATTCCCGGCGGCCCGGATTAAATAATTCAAATCATTTAACCCGGAGGCTTCCCCCATATTGAAATATGTGTTTTTTTCATTCCCGGCCCGAATTGAAGTTTAAATAATTTAGATCTTGGGGAGGGTCCGGGGGGAGGTCCGGGAGGGGGGTTCGGAGGGGGGTCAGGCAACCACCTCCCGTGGATTCAAATTGTTCAAACTATTTACTTTTTAACAAAATCACCGCCCGAAGTATAAAAATAATTTACAGAATTTGTATATTTAAATCTTGGGGAGGGGTTTCTGGCGGGGGTCCCGAACTCTGAATTGTTTAATTCGGGCCGAGGTCCCGGGCCCAGCCCCCCGCCCACCCCCAGCCCTGCAACCCAGCTAGCCCCCAGACCCCGCCCTTCCCTGTTCTTTTGCTGAAAACGCGGCGGTTCGACAGCACCAAATTCTCTGAAAGGACACCCTTCGGAAATTTCGTGTTATCGAACCGCTCTTCGCTGTTTCTGAAAACGTACTTTCTGAAACGACACCCTTCGGAACATGTAATGCTATCGAACCGCCCTTGGCTGTCTTCATTTTCTGTATACGCAGCAATTCGATGACACCAAATTTTATGAAACGACACCCTTCGGAAAATGTGGTGCTATCGCACCGCCCTTCGCTGTTTTCATTTTTCTGAAAACGCAGCGGTTCGATGACACCAACTTTTCTGAAACGACACCCTTCGGAAATTTTGGTGCTATCGGACAGCCCTTCGCTGTCTTCATTTTGTGAAAGTTCGTGGAAACAACCAATCGCAGCAAATATCACCAACCGATTCTGGGCCGAAATTTGCTGCGATTGATTTATTAGTGGTTATACCTAAATCAGGACACAACCAATAGCAGCAAATTTTGCCGATTGGCTCCTGGGCGAAATTTGCCGCGGTTGACTTGTTCGTGGATATATTTAATCCAGGAAACAGCCAATGGTAGCAGATTTCGCCAACCGATTCTTGGGCGAAATTTGCTGCAATTGACTTGTTCGTGGTTATATTTACATCAGGAAACAGTTAGCAGTTAATCGCAGCAAATTTCGCCAACCGATTCTTGGGGGGAAAACCAGACGTCTTTGTTTGAAACTTGGGAGGAGCCCCACCCCTTCTTCTTAGCGCATGCTCTCTTCCATCTACCGGAATAGTAAAAAAGATGGTCATGATCTCTTCCCCTTACCTATAGAGAGAAATGACGTCTCTTCTTGCCGGCTGAGGGGTGAGCTCTCTTCTTCTTCGTGAAGTTGGAGGGGCCTGTCTGTCATTTTTTTGAGATGGGGCCCTCTTCTTTCTCATTGCATTGGAGGAAGCTCTCGTTTTGTGGGGATGAGGCAGAGAACTTATACGTTGTTTTTGAAGACTGCTGAGAAGACTGGTGAGCTCTGTCCATATTTACTAGGAGCAAGTCTTCTTAAGATTAAGATGAAGACTTACCAAAACGTAAGGGTCTAAAAAGAAACATTGCTCTTACAGAGAACAACTTGGAGTGAGCTCTTCTTGTTTCAGAGGATCAGGTCGAGAGCTTCGCATTTCCTTCAGAAGGCCGTGGAGAGGACCAGAGATCTTTTGTCAATGTTTGAAGTTTGGAAGAGCTCCAAGCTTTCTTCTTGATCGTAAGCTTTCTTCCATATTTTGAACAGGAAGAGGAAATGGCCAGGAGCTCTGAGCTCTTCGCCCTTGACTAAGGGACAAAGGAGATCTCTTCGTGCCGACTGAGGAGCAAACGGGGCTCTCTTCTTTCTCGAAAACTTAGAGGGGCCTCTCGTCTGCGTTGTTGGGGCAGGGGACATGCTAAAGGATTTTTTCCTCTACCAAAAGTAAAGGAGCACTCTTTTATCTCCTGAAATTGGAGTGAGCTTTCGTATTGTTTTCGATGAATAGGTAGAGAACTCATACGGTGTTGTTGAACGTTGGGGGGTGTCTGTCCCTTTCTTGCTAGCCGAAAGGTCTCTTCATTCTTCTCAAGACCGAGAGGCGACTTACCAAGAGGTAATGGAGCTCTCTTCTCTTAGCACATATAGCTTGGGGCAGCTCTCTTCTGCTTTACAGCATGAGGTGGAGGAGTTCTCTTTCTTGTTGAATGTTGAGAGGAGGACCAGGCGTCCTCGTTTGAAGGCTGGGAGGAGCTTCGCTCTTTTTTCTTTAGTGCATGCTCTCTTCCATCTTTTCAAGAGGTGAGGGGGGGATAGTCAAGATCTCTTCCCCGTACCTATAGAGAGAAGGGAGGTCTCTTCTTGCCGATGAAAGGTTACCGGAGCTCTTCTGTTTCTCGTGAAGTTGGCGGGGCCTGTCTTTTTGCTGAGATGGAGTTCTCTTCTTTCTCATGAATTTGGAGGAAGCTCTCTTCTTCTTGTTGCAGGCTGGATGGAGGATCTCTGCCCTCCCGTCCTAGGAGTGGGAACTCCTCATTCCTCTTCAGTCTTCAGATGAAATACAGACTTAGCAAGAGGTAAAAGAAGTCTCTTCCAGAAAGATCCGTCTTGCCAGGAGTATAACTTGGAGGGGACTCTTTCCTTGTTACAAAGGACGCGGTAGAGGGCTGCTTATGTTTTGTTGACGGCTGAAGGGAGGACCAGACTGTTTTTAAGGTTAAGGGAGCTCCGTCCTCACTTTTTGACAGCTATCTCTCTTCTATCATTTGAAAATCAAACGGGGACGACAAGAAGCTCTTCTCTTTCTTCTTGTCGGCTAAAAAGCAAACGGAGCTCTCTTCTTTCTCGTGAAGTTGGAAAGGGCTCTCTGCTTCTTTGAGATGTTGCAGTAGATGTCAGTCTCAAGCCATGCGCTGCAGTGGATCGTGTTCAGTAAATGTGAGAACAGCCTTGCGGGGGGGCTATGTATCCTACCTCTGCAATGATAGAATATGCAGCTTCAGCTGGCAAATAGACCTCGCTTTAGGTGGCCACGCGGGCGCGGGTCTCAGGCAAGCGCTCCACGCACACCGAAGACACGCAAACACAGCAGCGATAGTCACTAGTATGGACCGAGCTGTGGGTCGGACGGCTCAGGGGTTAGGCGGAACTACGATTGAGGAGTGGGAATTGTCCTGCCCCGGCATCGAGGTCTTACGGACTGAATCGTTTGAGCCCAAGCCCTGTCCTTCTGCTCACTTCCGAAGGAGACCACCGTGCGCATGCCGTACAGGCACTCCTCCAGCATTACACAGGGTCCCTGGGTCTCTGGTTTGCAGGAGAATGCAGTTGATGCTCCGGGCTTTTTCGTTGTCGAAGTGCAGCATAGCTTCGTGGCTTTAAAGCTCAGTGCTGTCGGCAGTTAAACATGTACG